ATTCAAGACTGCTATTGGGTCATCACTACAAAATTAAAATGTACTACTAAAGGTATAACTAATATACTACTAAAGGTACAAAGAAACCTATAAAAGAGCTACTGGTGGAGACGTCTGTGGGTACAAGTTGCATAGCAATTAGATCTTTAGGTATGGGGCGGTAGGTTTCACCATCAATGATGCTCAGCTTGGAGGGGTGATAGGCATATATCTGCTATTACAGCTTTTAGTCATTCGATTAGTTGACAACCCAATCGCCTAGGAAAAAGTGTTCAGTGGAATATGCTACATTTAGACCATGAGGCCCAGAGGATAAAGCTACCTACTAGGGATAGGGGCAGGTGGCACCAGGTGTAGGAACCCTGTAGTGGAATGGGCCACTATGACTGCCATGTGTGCTGTGTCTGATCTGTGCTTATACATTGTTACTGTGCCTATGGGTAATTTTTCTCTGCTCTGCAAATGTAAGCTATCAAGATTGATGGTCATAGTGTCCCAAATCTGTGTGATAACTCTATCCACATATACTTTGTGCCATGCATGCGCTCTATTTGGGCACTGTATGTAAATGTGTGCCATACATGGTCTATCTTTTTATGAACTGAATATAATCTGTAAAATGGATGGTCTTTAACTGGGCACTGTTCCTAATGTGTGCCACGCATGGGGCACTTTTAATTCTATGTGCTGTGCATGGCCTCTATCTGGGCACTCATTATAATGTATTTTGCAGTCTATATTTCTGTGCATAATGTTTTCCATAATTGGTCTATCTAATAAGACTTTATATACTGTGGGGGGAATTTATCATAGCAATTGCAAGTGTTTGAACTTGCACTGAATATATTTGATGCACTTTGCGCCATGCATATGTGAGGTTTAATAGACTCCAGGAATGAAGACTTTTAACTTCTTGAAGAAGTGGTCATGAACAGAACAAGTGCAGATGAAAACAGGTGCAAAAAAAGTGCAAACAACCTGCAATTGAAAAAGTAGTGCAAGCTCTGGTCAAAACAGGTGCAAAACACTTGCAGTTGGAAAAGTTGTGCAAGCTCCGGACAAAACAGGGGCACATGTTAAAAGACAGATTTGCACATAGAACTGTTGCAATTGCTTTGATAAATCCCCCTTTTGTGTTTGTTTGGTCTCTATCTGGGAACTGAATGTAATGAACAAACTATTTGTGTCCAAGGGCGATCGTCCTCAGGTATTCGCAACATGTCCGATTGCGAATGGCTGTGGGTGCTGTCAGCTGTCATTGTTCTGCATAGCACTTCCCGTCTGCAGCTGTGTGCATGAGTATCACGCAGCAACTTATGAGATTCACCCAATCGGCCCCAACCATAAGTGAGAATGGGGACATACTCTGAGATAGTGTACTGTATATAGCATTCCCTTATGGCACACACTTGGGAAAGAAACCTAAAGATTACAGATCAGGTAGAAATATCTGTTGTGTAGAGACCCTCACTGTGACTTATTCCTTAATAAGATTGTCATATTTTGGCACCACGCGTGTTGTATTTTTCCAGAAAAATGTGATACTTTCCCCGTGAAAACAGCATGTAAAATATATCTCCATCTGTTTTCTTTGGACAGCTTCTTCTTAAATGTATTTAACAACACACTGTAATTTCTAATGGTTCCCAGGCTGTGCATATAGCAATGGCAAGGAAAATAATAAGATTAAAGCAGACAGCAGAGAAAATTATACATGAGGTTCGTGGTGCAGCTGAGGTCTTATAGACAAATGTACCTGAATAGAGCAAGTGAAAGAACTGCACTGATGGTGGAAACACATGGTAAATAGCTGAGAACAGACACAATTATGCTTCGGTTGCTAGAGGGCCAGTAATTTAAAAGGAGATAAATATTTTCTTTAAAGCTGAACTCCAGGCAGATATTTTCAAATGCCAATCAACACAGTTATATATTTATTTAAAAAAGTGAAATGTATTTTAAATGCAACTGGTATGAATGCCTGATTTTGACTTGATTTCAGCTTCTTATACCCCCCTTGCACAGCAGCACCCAGACTGTGAAAGGGGGGTAGAGGTGTCTTGCATTCTCTGACAAAGATCATGGTGAGACCGACACGCAGCCCTGGTGAGACCGACACGCAGCCCTGGTGAGACAGCATACAGCACTGGTGAGATCTCACAGCCCAGGTAAGACTGCACAACCCTGGTGAGACCAGCATGCAGCCCTGGTGAGACAGTACACAGGCCTAAGTAGACCTGTGTGTCTGTGCAGATATATTACAAAGGATAGTATTTTACTCATAATATAATTTGTAACCTTCCTGGTTAACCCCGATATGTACTACCAGATCAAAGTGAAATACAAGAACAGGAAAGGGAATTAAAATCATCATGTTATTTTAAAAAAATCATGAAAACATGCCAAATAAATGGGAAGAAGTTTGAAGTGCCTGAAACTCAGAGTCTTGTAGGGTCTCTGGCACTGATCTGTTGAATAGTGAGATTATTGCTTGGTGCCATAGGCTGCCAAGGGCAATGGCAACCTTTGCAACACATGAGTTATCCAGTGCTCTTGGACCTGTAAAAAAAAATAAAGGGTTAACTGTATGTATAGACTGTTTGCTTAATATGTTGCTTGAATTCTGCTCTGGTACAGGCATTGAACTGTAAAGGGGTCCCTAGAGCTTGAGAACAAAGATGTCAGATCCCGTCTCTCTGAACAATGGTTTCTGCTGTATGAAATGTTATAAGAAGCCATAGAATGGATGAATAGATGACTGTATAGTATCCCGCTTTTGCAGAGATGAAGACTTGCAATTCCTTTATAGCTTCCCCATGGAATATATGGTCATTTGGAATTCTACTTACAGCAAAAATTGAGAATTATAGTAGGCAAGACATATTTCTAAACAAACATATACATCCACACATTTTCCACGACAACGTTCCCAAAATGGTGAAGAATTTGTAAGCTTTACAGGATAATACAGAACACGCACATTTATTTTTATGTGATAATACTTTTTTGATATGTATATTTACCTTGGAGTGGGAATATTTTTCAAAAGTTTATTGTTAGATTAGGAATTCTTTTATTTTCGCAGAACAACAAAATATTTTTAAAAAATAGGCTTTAGTTTAATGGAAAAGCACAATATTGTTTGGAAACGAGAAGCTGTCAAAATGACTAAACGCCACCAATTGGTGTCTTGATGGCCTAGGGATAATATGAGAGCCTGCCAACCCGAGTAACGTACATTAGGATTATTCACTAGAGTAGCAGATCATGAAAGCAATATTCATACCTTTAAAAAAATCATTCTCAATGTGCTTAAAGTGAACATATGCTCCACTTTCAATTGTAAGTAAATTGTGACAATGAGGTTTTCTCAATTGCGTCCTTTTGGTCTGTTAAATATACCATTGAAGGGCACTTTGTTTTATCAGTTTAAGTGAAAACAAAACCTGGTTATTTTGTCAGAAATTCAGAGCTATTCTGTGCACCCTTCTTTTAATCTGGACTATAGAACAACGAGTCCATATGTGGAGATGAAGAGAGTAGAAGGGATTCAGTAGTTTAGCAAAAGACAACTGGACAGGGCTGACACCCCTCGGTCCATAAAAATGTTTTGTGTTGTCAGCCCCACAACAGGACTTAGAAGCTAAGTGCAATTCTAGCAGATTAACAGGCATTTTTCTGTAGGGTCTTTAAAGTTTTAAAATATGGGGAAATGTTCATATATTGTAGAGATGTACCGAATATGTTTTTTTTCTTTCTTTCTTTTTGTCTTGACACACTTTTCAGTGATGTAAACTTGCAATAGAATGTTAATGCACGTGGGTCAATGCTTGTGCACTTGACTTTAGTTATGTTCGCAGGCATGCCTATTGCATTAGGGTGTGCACACAAAAGTACAAACACACATGCATATATATATATACACATGTATACTGTACATATATACTGTATATATATATATATGCACATACATACATAAATACATACATGCATACACAGACCTAAGGCATCATGTATTCCTATCTCTTCAACTGTCCCTTACCTGTTCAAGCAGGGGTGCAGTAATGAAGCAGGGAGCTTCATGTGAACACCTGCCCGGCTTCCTGATTTGATTGGAAGCCACAGCCACACTCCCTCGCAACTTCCCAGGCACTGAGGTCTGCGACTGTTATGTGAAGAATGTAAGTAGCAAGTGCTTCTGCCTTCTCTATCACTGAGCTGGTCACAGAGAAATATTTTTCAGATCTCTCCACTGGCTCAGTGACTAAAACATGGCGCCTGCTTTTGTGATTTCGGTGTTGCGCTCAGAGTGATTAAGGTATGCCCAGGCACAACCAGAACACCCTGTACGCAAGGCTATGGTTATGTCCTATAGGGCTCCAGGAGGACTAAAATCTTGGGTTCTCGCTTCTACAAATACCAACATCCGCAAGGAATTCTGCACTTTGGCCTGCCCTTTCACTCCTCCTGTACATTGGCATTGGTCAATTGGGCCATTTTTTACAATTATAAACCAATGGTGAGACTTAAGAGGAAGGAGGGAACAGTTCAGCGCACTGGATTTTGTAATTGTAATATTTTGTAATATTTAGTAATAGAGCTCCTCTTGTTTTCGGGCTACTGGGGCATTCTAGAAAGTAACTAAAGCTACAGGTAGGCTTATCTTGGTTTTTAGATTTACTTCCCGCTGCCAATTCATATCATTAGAATAACTTGCTACAAACTGGAGCAAATCAAACCAAACCTACGATAAAGATACATTTGAGAACAATTAGTTTATTAGAAACTATAATTTAGCATTATAAATCATTGTGATAAGTGCACAGCTGGATGACCATGCGATACCAACTCTAGTCTGCATTGCTTGGTTTAAAAACAGAACTGTAAGTTACTGTAAATTATTAATGCTTATAACAGTCTTCCAAAACAAAATGCTATGGCATGAAATCCATTCCAGAAGACTTTACAGTTTATTAATACAGATTTTCTTCTCCTTGCAGTGAACTTGGATCATTTTCAGATTCTCCGGGCAATTGGCAAGGGAAGCTTTGGCAAGGTAACAGCGCGTTCTTCTTTTCTACAAACTGCTAAGCCGAGACATAAGGGTGACATTGTAACTTCAGTAATGTGTATAAATTGCAGGAAGCAGAAATTCTCCTAATGTACTTTATCTCAGACCTGGTCAGACCTGGTCAGATTATAAAGGTCAGAACTAAGAAGACTTTTGATTGGGAAACTAAGAAAACATTGTTTGACCATTAATATTAAACAGCTGTGCTCAATCAGGTGTATTTTTTCTGCTTTTATTTTTCCAAACCAGGCGTGAATAAGGTCATGAACAGGGTTATTTTAAAGCCTATTTCCAAGTAAAAATAAACTACCCATGCAGTGGGGCTACCCCTATAGCAGGCCCCATAGCCAACCATTATACATCAGGCTGTCCATTAACCAAAGTATAGGGGAGAGAGCTGACTGGGGGGGAGGGGGGGAGCGGGGATCAGGTAGGTAATAGTCCTCTTCACATTACTCCTAAACATAAACGAACAGTCAATCCTTGCAATGTGGGGGCAACTCCACTGCAAAAGTATTTTCTTTGTATTGAAGGCCGTGTATGGGATCACCCACCTTCCTCCTAGCTAGCATGACCTCACATAATGCTCACAGAGCAACAGTTAAGGGGAGGAAAGGAACAATGCCTTACATGCAATGAGCATGGTGGGATTGTGGACAGGGCCACCATTAGAAATCATGTTGCCCCGTACAGCCCACCTGACAGTTCCCCCTCCTCTGAACTGTAAAGCTGTATCAATTATTGACAAGGGTGCTTCCTAAAACAGAACCCAGAAAGCTGCAGCCAAAGTACAGCCGCTGCCCACAGCAACCAGTCAGTGTTTTGCTTTACCCCTTTGCTCTATTTCAGATAAAATATGATTTGGGGTACACCAGGGAAGGGCATGAGAGAAAAATAACTCCAATGATTAATGTCAGTGGGATAAAATAACCCCAGTGTTGGTGCCTGTGGAATAAATATGCCCTATCAGTGTCACAGAGATTAAATAAACCTTTGGTGACATTTGAAGTAAAATAAGCCCTAACATTGGTGCCAATGAAATAAATGAGCCCCATCTGAGTTATTAGAATTAAATAGGCCCCATTGTTGATGTCAGTGGGAGTAATATATGCCGCACATGATCTGGAACACTGCATATTTGGTCATGTAGTAGGACATGTCATCAAGCAAAGGCTTATCAGAGACAGAAATGCATTTAGCATATTATAGTGGCAGCATATTTTTTTGCATGAAGACAAGCACAATGACATAATAGAATGAGACAAGGTAAAAAAATATTGTACGTGATATTACTTCTCAAGCACAGTATGAGGGCAAAGAACTTTGCAAGTGTACAACATTATAAGACAGGAGAGTGTCATTTATGCATGTTCAAATAAAATCAAGAGTTCTGGGGGGGCGTGTCCAGGACCTGATGGCGCTCAGACGTGTCTAACTAAAGAAATCAGGATCAGACCCCACTGAGGCTGTGGGGGAGCCCAGGACCGGACCCCACTGGGACCCCCCACAGCCACAGGCACTCGGTGCCCCGGCACCGGCTGCACCGGCTGCACCGGCGGTAGTTCCGCCACTGCACACACACATTAATAAGGAGAGAGCTAGGTGCGTGTGTCCTGCCCTTGAGTTTTTCTGCTATATGTGTATTCTCTCCTGCTGTTGTTTGGAACATGCCACCTGTTGACTGTAAATGGTAAATATGTAATACACTGTACGTATGTAATCTTGCACATTTGCTGCACTGAAAGTAAAAACATTTAAAAAAAAAATGAACATAGTAAGTAAATAACAAAACAGCTTTAGAAAAAAAAAACTTTAATGTGTTTGTGAATCTGATTGCTTTGGGGCAGTGCAGGCGGTTCCAAATCTTACTTTGATAAGTATGGCCCACTGGCAAGAGTTGTCTAAATGTCTGTGTTCAAATTTCCATAAAAAAGACCGGGGGAATGACACACTCAATCTGATTGGGTGTTGTTAAAGATTTATTTTATTTTACCTAGACCTTATTTAAATGGAAATGAAGGCAAACAGCTAAATTCAACTGAAATACACTATATTGCCAAAAGTATTGGGACGCCTGCCTTTACACGCACATGAACTTTAATGGCATCCCAGTCTTAGTTTGTATGGTTCAATATTGAGTTGGCCCGCTCTTTTCAGCTATAACAGCTTCAACTCTTCTGGGAAGGCGTCCACAAGGTTTACAAGTGTGTTTATGGGAATGTTTGACCATTCTTCCAGAAGCGCATTTGTGAGGTCTCCGCTCTAATTCATCCCAAAGGTGTTCTATCGGGTTGAGGTCTGGACTCTGTGCAGGCCAGTCAGGTTCCTCCACCCAAAACTCGCTCATCCATGTCTTTATGGACATTGCTTTGTGCACTGGTGCGCAGTCATGTTGGAACAAGAAGGGGCCATCCCCAAACTATTCCCACAAAGTTGGGAGCATGAAATTGTCCAAAATGTCTAGGTATGCCGATGCCTTAAGAGTTCCCTTCACTGGAACTAAGGGGCCAAGCACAACCCCTGAAAAACAACCCCACACCATAATCCCCCTCCACCAAACTTTACACTTGGCACAATGCAGTCAACCGCCAAATCCAGACACGTCCATCGGATTGCCAGACAGAGAAGCGTGATTCATCACTCCTGTGAACACGTCTCCACCTCTCTAGAGTCCAGTGGTGGCGTGCTTTACACCACTGCATCCGATACTTTGCATTGCACTTGGTGATGTAAGGCTTGGATGCAGCTGCTCGACCACGGAAACCCATTCCATGAAGCTCTCTACGCACTGTTGTTGTGTCAATCTGAAGGCCACATGAAGTTTGGAGGTCTGTAGCTATTGACTCTGTAGACAGTTGGCGACTTCTGCGCACTGTGCGCTTTAGCATGCGGTGACCCCGCTCTGTCATCGTGACTGAGTTGCTGTTGTTCCCAGATGCTTCCACTTTGTTATAATACCACTAACAGTTGATCATGGAATATTTAGTAGAAAGGAAATCCAATGATTTGGGGGAGAGGGGGGGCAATTCTTTTGGCAATATAGTGTATGTAAGTGTGAACTATCGTAACTGCTAACCCAGACATTAGACAGCCCCATCAAGGAGCTGGCCTCACATTTCTCTACAGCATGATCACCCCAGCCTGGAATTGGATAGTGGGGCATCAGCAGCATGCTGTTGAGGTCAACCTTCTGCTCTCCCCTCCTATCAGCTTGCTCCATGTATTCTGTGCAATGTAGTAAAATTGCTAAGGAGTAGCTGCTGAATTACTGGCTGTAACTGAACATAACCTCTGAAACCCTTCTGTCAGAGACCACATGACCAATGCCGCAGAATTGGTTTTGTGAAGTGATACCAAAGGTTGCCCAGTTCTGGTCGCATTAGAACAAGCACATTTATCATTACTCCGACCCATTTTTACTTACAGAACAATGACATGACAAGGAATAGATTTTAGTGTATGAGGTCTACTTTAATGAAGCTCTTATTATTATTACACAGGATTTCTGTAGCGCCAGCAGTTTGCGCCGCGTTTGCACAAAATAATGAAAATAATGGGAGTCAGTATAGTTACAATACAATTCAATACAAGAGGATTAGGAAGACCCTGGTACAGGATGAACTTCCTCCCCTATGACTGAGTTACAAAGTAACAATGTATGTATCAGAATTTAACTTGACCGAGTTCCCAGACAGTTGCTATAGATACAGTAAGCAGGCACTGCAGAAGTCATTAGGAATCTATATATAACTTCCCTGGAAAGCTAACAATCTAAGTGCTACTTCTCAGAGTGAACATATCACAAAATGTCCATTCACAAGTTGATATATGTATATAGTGTGTCACATTTAAGCGTGAAGCTGTCAGGACTTGTAGGTAGAGATCCGGAAGAATAGCAAGAACTTGGGAACTTTAGAAGCTTGTTATTACACGCAGGCATTTGCCAATGTTTTGTTGCCCTCATAGGAGTCAGAAGGAGCTCTTGGTTTGTCCCATCAGCATTAATAATGTGAATAGGAAAGTGATTTGCCAGCTATCATTCTTGTTGGGAATGTATGCCTAGAAGATTATGGTAGGGGTTTCAGATTGCAAGCTCCTCTGGAACAGGAGTGGATGCTGGTAGTTCTCTTTACTCTTATTTTACTCTCTAAGGCCCAATTCACATGGTTATCTGTGCATGGATCCTCTGCTGATCAGAATGGATTTCACTGTTGTGACATCTGTGTCAATCCAGTTTTTCCCTCCATCTTGCCATGGCGGAAAAAAATTGAAATGACCGGACCCATGTTTTTACAGGTCTATAGGGAATCGGATATAAACAGAATTGTGTCCATCTACATCAGATTACCCCTGATGCGGCATGATCATGTCTGGCAAAATGGAACTCTGATCCATTTGTTTTTCTGGGCTTTGCCAGAGCTGGGGTTAACAGAATGTGAATGGGCGCCCATCCATTTAGATCTGGCTGCCCATAGACTAACATTGGGCCTCACCTGAAAAACTGACAGGCGGACCTGATTGGAAAGCCCGTGTGAAAGAGCTTTAATGCACTCCTCAGTAGTTAGCACTACAGTATAAACATATAGGCTACAAATACCTTTTCTACCCTTACAAGTGTAATTTAAAGGGGGTTGAATACACAAAATAAGGGAAAGCAACATTATCTGTAAGTACAATGAAGATATCCCACCACACACCTGACCAATATATTCCCTTCTTCTCTTTATGTGTGTTGTGGGAATTTGGTGTAACATGAATACAAACAGAATATAAGTCACCAGCACAACAGTGTATCTTCATCCAAAAATGCCTTTATTGACATATAAATCATTATATAAAAAGTGGTAGCAACGTTTCAGGACCTCTCAGGGTACCTTCATTAGGCAACGTGTCCGAATGCGAACAAATCTGAATGTTCGTTTAACAAAAATTCGGATTCGTCCAAACTTCATTCCAAACAAAACTAAATCGGACATGTGACTGTT